GGGACCTGGATAAAGGGCTCCGCAGGTACCGGGCCGGGCCAACCCACATCGTCCTCCTCAGCACCCACAGGAGCAGGGTGTAGCAGCCCAGCCAACACAGCCACAGTCTCATGGGGAAGGGGCGCGATCAGCCCCGCGCGTCGCCGCCGCCCCCCCGCTCCATGGCAGCGGCGGCTCCGCTCGGGGCCCGCGCACAAGCTCCGGGCGGAACGCGCCGCCGCGGCAGCGGGGCCCGCCCGGACGCCTTCGCTGCGACACGCCGGGGCCTGGCGCGCACCCGCTCCCTCCCTCGGCAATGGCCGGGCGGGGCCGCGCTGCGTTCGAACCGGAGCGGGGCCGGGCAGGGCGGGCTGGCGGCGGCTCGGCCGGGCCCCTCGGCCGGGCTCCTCCTTCGTCCCCGCCCCGGGCCCCGCCGGCAGCGGCAGGCGGGCGGGGCCGCCTCGGCGGCGCGGGGACACGTGCCCGGCGCCGCCCTGTCAGGCGCGCGTGCGCAGAGCGGGAGGCGCGGGCCGAAGGATTGTGTGTGAGGAGCCGGCTCCCAGCCGGGCCTTTCCTCATGATCGCATCTCATGGCTGCGCAACAGCCCCTTCGTTGAGACAAGGAATTGGAAAATAAGGAATAGTTCATCAAAAACCAAGACAATGAGGAACGCCTGACCTTTACTGTCTTTGCAAAAATCAGGAGGAGAGGCGGACTGGTTTGTGATAAACGAAGCCAGAACTTGCCAACAGGGTGACGGTTGCAAGGCTACCAGTGATAAGTAATAAATCCAAAACCTTAAACCAGCAAAAACTAATTTCAAGGTCTGGAATGTGCCCAAAAGTCTAAGACGCATGCTCCAGAAACAACGTTGAAAAGTTCAAGTGCGATGAAGAGTTTGGAAGCCTTCATCAGAGACCCTCGATGACCCCTGAATTGGGGAGGCGCAATCGCAAAAGGACTTTGGTTCATTTGAATACGAAGTGAGGGTAGGCGGGGCTAGGATATGAATATGTATTAGGCGTATTGTGTAATCCTAGCCTTTTAGGAAATAAATAGAACAGTAGTTTGAAGTTTCCCTGTGCTTTAGGAGGAATTATCCCCGTGCACCTCAGCGCTAAATAAATGCACACCTACTTTATAACCCTCATTACTCACGAGTTACAGAGTCTTTTCCACGTGTCATCATCTCCTGGTGAAGGTGGCACTGGAAGCCAGACCCCCCGGGATCCTGGTTTTTACCTGGAACCTCCCTCTGACACCAACTGATCACATCCAACCTTGCTTATCCTGGGAAATCAGCAAAACCAGAGCAAGAACAGAATATTGTCAGAGGATTGTTGTGTTCAGTTCATTTTCACTGATGTTTAACCCCCTAGAGGAAAGTTTTTGACTTGAGAGCTTTAGACAGGTTTCCACTGAAAATTATTTTGTTTTGGTTTGTTTTTTTCTCTCCAATAGCTAGATGGGCTAGAATGCCTTTTTGGTCTATTTTTATTTGGCTTGGGATTAAGATGCTCCTTTCCATGTCTGTTCTTATTTGTAAAAAAGACAAGTTTATTTTTTCCCTCCAGGAATAAAACAACTTTGTAATCAAAATCCAAAATGACAAAAGATAAATTTGCTGCTTTTTAAACAGACATCTGCTCACAATATTATAAACCAGTAAATAAAATTGCTTCAGGTTAGTTACATGTTCTTCACAGGAAAACATATCTTTGTTTTATCACAGAGTAAATACAGATAATTGATTACATACAAAATAAATTAAGACATTTGCTAGCTTTTGTCTTTGCATTGTTAGCATACAGCCTGGGTGTGTTTTAATGGAATTTTCCAAAATTCCTACCCAGTGTTACAGTTGTCATTAATATTCTGATGCAGTAGTTGTATACTCAGCATATTTTTCTCTTGACAAGCCATAAAGAACTCACTTCATGCATATTTAGGTAATAATTTTGATGTACAGTCATTTGCATATGAGCTGGTGGAGTTGTAACCAACTGCTGGACAATCTCAGCAAACCATTTGTGGTGTAGGTAAGCTTTGACATTCAATTAGTGTGCTGGGAAAGGATTTCCACAAATAATGGAATCACTGTTTTCTCTGCTTTCTGCTCCACCATTTGGGGAGCGTTTTTTCTTTGTCTTGATGGAAATTTCTATAATCAAGTGAATCCCTGGAGTGGAAAAGGTCCCAAACACACCCAAAGGGTTTAACACAGCCGTTGTTGCTTTGTGGTGGCCCAAGGAGCCTGGCTTCTGGAGCAGGCTCCATGGCAGGGCTGCCTGGGCTGCACAGCCTCGTGTAGTCTACCATGTAGATCCTCAATTTTTCCAATAAAATGCAATGATAAAACAACTTTCCCTTCTATTACTTAAACATTAGCAAGAAAGGGATTGGCAGAAAGAGGTCTTGAAGGTAAACACAGATATCTAAAATCCTCTCCTCCCAAGGCAACCCAGGAAGCCCAGTTATCCAGACCTTCAGGACAACTCTCCCCAGTCTCAGTTTTATGTTCCTGTACCACACCAGCTGGAATTCTTTTCCCTGCATGTTCTGCTGAGCCTTTTCCCCGAGCTGGCTTAATTATGCAAGGAAGTGCCTAGAAGTCCTTGTGGAGATGTGGCTTATCTGAAGTATTCCTTCCCCTTCCTGCTTGTCTTTCCTGACAGCACCCACTTAGGCTGTAGAACTGTATTCAAATGTAAACATTCCTACCAGCCATGTCAACACAGTACATTCATGAATTACTGAGCAGTTCCAAAATCAGGGCAGCAGGAGACTGTGAAGGCGATTTTGTACAAGACTAGAGCAGAGGTGGGCCTGTAAGCTCCACAAAACATCATTTTTCCTCACTTAAAATTAAATATGCTTTGTTGTCATTTGTTCAATATTTTCACTCTATCACTGACTATATATAATATTACTACTATATTAGACTGCCATTCTCTAGTGTCTATTGAGCAACATCCTTTTAAGTCTAGCAGACACTTCTGCTTATTGATTTTCAATAAATAAAATTCATTAAGTGTATTAAGTTCCATATTCTCAGAATTTATAGAGAAACTCTAAGAAGTAAGCATCACATTTCTCCTCCTCTAAGCTTACCACAGCATTTCATATTTTATACTATACACACACTTATAGCCTCTTTATCAGTTATGAGACTATTTTAGACACTTAAATTAGCAAGACTAAATTGAGGCACTTTTCCATCAGTGGGAGTTCAAGCTCAGATACTGTTGGCTAATAAGGAGAGAAAGCAGGGAAACCAGCTGTTGCAAGACACTGAACTTTTGCCTTTGATCATCTTTTACTTGATTCACAGCCAAAACCAATCATGTAGGTTTAGCAGAAGATAACAAAGTTTAGTGGGTGACAGAGAAATGGAGAATAAGCAATGTCACTCACACAGTGCCAACCTTCTATTCCTGTAATTCCACCACCCAAATTAAAGCACTCTTCCAGTCCTCTTTGGGATTGACTATTGATGCTGTGAATACATTTCTCCTGCCCTTATAGCAAGGGAAATACGACAAACAAATGGGAGAATAGTGCATAATAAATTTGGAAAATTATTAATATTTTACATATTTAAAAATTTGAATTGTATTTCTCAGAATTTTTTTTCTAAACTGGTTTGGTTTGGTCCTATCTTCAGGCTGTCTTGCTTAGAAATCTTGGATTATGTACTTTTCCTGTAGGAATTCTAGAGATGCAGCAGATGGCACAGCCTATTCAAACAGTGTATTGAGTCATATCACTCCTTATTCCTTTCTTATTTCAGCAAATTAATGGTAACTTTACCAGATATTTTCCAGAAAAAAACAATTCTGATAATTTCAAAGAATTCTTGATGTAATTTTGACTCTTAAAACCACTTACTACTGGTTGTATAGCACGGTACTCTTCCAGTTGTACACTATATTCTAATAACTTACTATTAGAAATAACTAACACAGTCACCTAACAAACCCTATTTGTGGTACAATAACATTATTTTATTGTATATGTAAAAATATATATTCCATGAGGATAGGATGAACATGGGAAGTTTAGGAAATACAGAAACAGTTGAAAAAAAGAGACTATTTTATGTTATTACTGTTTTAAAGGAACTGTCAGGGAGAAGACTGTTTCTTATAATGAATCAAAGATAATATTAACTTAAATTCCTTCAACTTCTGCTCCTGCCTTTCAGACATGAAATAAATACATTCAATGCAGGAAATATTTTCTAATTCAAAACCTAAACACACAGGCTATATCTGCTCTGGTATTTGTATTTACCTATCCACAGAATATTTATACAAGTGATGCTGTATGTGCACATAATGCTGATAGCATGCACAATGCAAATGGACAACAGTGTTTCTGACAAGACAGATAAAAACCAGATAAGGCAACTTCAAACTCCACCACAGCTCTGGTTTCTTACATTTTAACATAAATCTTCATATTCCTATCAAAGGATTCATTTGGATTTCTAAATATTTAATGATGATCTCCTGCTTTTTCATTCATCGCCTTGAAAGCAGTTCACACTTCAAAAAAGGCAAAGAAATGATGTTATTTCTACTCTGCAAATGTAAAAGCCAAGGCACAAATGAATATTTTTTTCAGCTCTGGTATTTCAGATCTCAAACTTCTTCATTAAATTATGCTGGTGTCCACCAAAATGCAGAGCCATTTCTTACACTCCTTTATTTTCCAAGTTATCTGTCACAATACGTGGAAAGCCTTGAAAATCATCTGGCTCAGCCTTTTAAAACTGGGATCCACACAGTGCTCTTGTACTTTCAAGTGGCACTCTCTAAGAAAGGTGCTACTAAAACTGTTTGCCCAGGCAAAACAGAATACAAAAATGCAGTGATTGTATTATGCTAAAGGGATTTATCACTGCACAATTACACCATGGATATACTGGAGGAAGAATAATATTGATTAAATGGGAGTACTGTAAACATGCTAATGTGTCTTATCATTACAGCGTGTGAAATGAAAAGAGGACTCAATATTTCTGAAATTTTGTCAAAACCCCTTTATTTTATAAAAATCACAGGATTCATTAAAAATCTTAACTGATAAGAATTAATCAGAAATTAACTAACTTTAACTGGATGATTCAGAAATTAACTTAAATTGTCACACAGCAAATGAGTTTGTCAATGTAACACCACTGAACAGGTCGAGCTTGATTTAGTATCTGTGTGTGCTTACATTTGTCCAAGAGCTGAACCCTACATCCACAGACTAATGCTGTCCTTGCCACAATGACATTCTGCATGAAGCACTGTAGAATTAATACCTTCAAAATTATATTCCCATTTAAAGTCAGAAAACTGCACTGACCTTCCACGAACCAGCGATTTGGAAAGCCAGTGAGGACTTATGGAGCTTTTTCCACATTGAGCAACACTGAACAGCATCTGAATCCTTTTCTTCTTTAGCCTCACACGGCCTTTCACAGGGTAGTTAATTACTCTTGGCTCTTGCCATGGTAGCTGTCAGATTTGTCTTGATACTGGCCAGCTAGACACCATCTAAACTTTTCTCTTCATCTCCTTGCCATCCATGAGAGATGTCCACTGGGATCTTCCAGATTAACTTCAGAGATCTGCCATTTTATTAGTATGGCAAAATTAATCCACCAGTAAGCTTCAGAAAAGACAGTTCCCTTGAATTCCAGGTGCTGGGTTAGGATCCCTTTCCCTGATCTGCCATATCCTTTCTTCTAATAAATTAACAGGAATTATTATATACCAGAAATTACTTTAAATTAAGTAATTAAGGATGAAACCCATTAACAGAAAGCAACTGAACTAGGGAAAACTTGTGTAGGCTCAGCATTAAGGCTGAATGTGACTCGGTCTATAGAGACTGAAAACACAGCTTTACTGAAACAGCTCAAACTGTGTTTCATCTTATAGTTTTGCTTTTTCACATTAAAAACTTACTGAACTCTCCTGTGGTTCAGCAGGAGATGCACTGAGCACTGGTTCCATATTTACTGTGGAGCTGCCAGGTGGCTGTTCTGGATGGAAAAGGGAGTCCAGATCAGGATCTGTAGGACTGCAATGCAGAGGGGAACCAAACAGACCAGGTAGAACATGGCATCATGGAGATCTAAAAACAAGCTGCTGAAACAAATGACAACACAGGAATCTTCAATAGGAAAATTAACTTCCATGGTCATTAAACGAGTTCTTTTTTAGAGCATTCCCATTATAAACACATAGACATGCTACTGTACAGTCAATTCTAAGCGAAATAAATAGAAATATCTTGTGTATGTTCTAATTCTACATACAGATATGTATGATATTTTGTTTTCTCTAGCTGGGAGGAATTCAGACACTAAGCACACAGAGAATTAATTTAAATATAACCTAAGAAATCCTGTTCAGGACTTTCCTGATTATGTAATATAGAAATCAACTTAAGCAAATTTAATCTAATTATAGAACAGAGCATCCAAAAAGCTTTAGTAAGACTGAAAAGTTTGGAAGAAAAAGAAAACTAGAAAATGGAAACAAACATTTTAACATGAAATTAATTTATTTGAGTTGAAATCTGTGCTACTAACTATCCACATAGAGGGTTGTTTTAGTTGCTGAGTGCTAGATGGAAGTAGTGATAATTGCACAAAATTCAGGTGTGGTTTCAAGGGCTGTTTGAAATATCAAGCCTTATTTCACTTGGTTTTAAAACAAATGATTACAAGATAATATAAGCCATAGAAGGAATACATGTGAAATTAACACTAGTTTTCATTTTTTCTAATGAATGCATGGCATTTCCTCATCTAAATCTTCTCTAATGAAAAATAAATAAAAGCATCAGCAAATATGAATGAAGAAAGAAAATACAGGAATTAAATGAGCTCCCTTTTATGAGCAGTATGGTTTCTGACAGCTCAAAGCATGCATTTTGGCATTCATCTAGTAGCTGGAATCATTATCTACTTGCATTCTGTTAATTATGGGATTCTAATTACTTAAATATCAGGAAAGTCAACTCAAGCTGAGAAACAGCCCCTAAGTGAACTTTCTCTCCATGAGGCAGTTTATGTTCCTTTCTAATTTTTTTCCTTAGCGTTCAGGGATGAGATAAAAGACTCACAGAACAGCAATGGACGTGGTCCAAAAACCCTGAAATCTGCGAAAAATTCCCCAAACCTTGAGCAGGTATTTGAATAAAACCTAAGAGTTCCTCTGAATCATGAAAGAATCAACTCACTGGCTTTAACAGAAATGTTTGCAACCTCCAACACAGCCCTGATTCCCTCCTTAGTACAGACTCAGGCTCATAAACGAGCACAGTTTATCTCAAATCATGTACATGCTAATGCTACATGAGAAAACAAAAGCCCACAGGCTCACAAGTGAATCACTTAATCACTCGGGCAATTGCATTTATGACTGGAAGTGTTCACTAGCAGGCCACTGGTCCATAGCCAATGTTTATTGGCAGTGACAATAATTTACCATTTGGAGTTGTTTACTGGCCTGCACCCAACTGCATTTCCAGTGCACCCACAGGGGAAGGAGCCCACATCATGCACAGCTCTGGCACAACCTTCCCCAGGGACTCTGGGCAGGAGCAGTGCCAGCAGGGAGGCCACAGACACATTATTTAACCACCTAACAATGAGAACAGGACTCAGACACAGTTAACAGGATGTTGAGGCTTGCATTTGGCCTGTTCTGCACACTGAAGAGCATTGCAGGTTTCAGTACTAACATTATTCTATCTTTACACAAAGAACATCTGCAAAATCACTCACACTGCAATCCTGATTTGGTTTCACTGGAACGATGTTGATTTAAGACAATAATATTACCTATTGTACTGTAAAACCTTAAGTTATTGAAGGAATTATAAGAAAGTATCTATTATACACAAAACAAGGAATGGGAAAATATTTCATTACGGGACTGGCATAAATCAAGAGCAGAGCTTGGATTTTATCACAATTACAGCTGAACAAGCAACTTCAGAAATTTCCTTATCTACCTTTTTTTTTGCACACACAGGAATAAAACATAAAATGTTTCCCTTAACAGCTCTAAAATCACTCTGAACAGAATGTCAGGTAGTTCAGTAATTCAATATGAAAGCATTAACAGTTTAAAGTGCCTTCAATAAATAATAAAGAGTTGTTGCCAAATAACTTTATTTTGAAGAACAAATTTGAAAAGCACTCTCAAGAGAAGCTGGTGGTAGTTGCAGTGCCTCTCCAGAAGAGGGAGGTTTTAAACCAAGCATCTTTTCCATAGAAAAAAAAAAAAAAATCAAGCCAAACTTAAAAAAAAATCCCAAACCCAAACAAGAACAAAAACATCTCAAGCCATACAGGGCACTTACTGCTTATGATGATGGAAGAAAGGAAAAATCAGGACACTCCATTCTACAAAGTATTGCTCAAATTTTAAGTATATTAAAAACACTTTCCATGACAAAGTGCTTAACTTCTGTGCAGTACCCACATTTCCTAAGGATGTGGCACAATGTGTGAGCAGAGGGGAAGGATCACCTTTGCCCTGCTGGCAGGACTTTGTCTAATGCAGCCCCAGGTACCATTCCCCCCACCTCCCATGGCAGTGTGACACAGGTTTGTGTCATCCCCAAACTTCCTGAGGGTCCATCTTGTCCCATCATCCTGGTTAGAAATGCAGCCCAGGCCTTCCCCTGCCCACCAGGCGAGTGATTGAACTGTAGAAGTTTATCAAGGCCAAACATCACTTCCCCTTGGTGGAGCCATGCTGGCTATTGCTGATGATTTTATTGTCCTTACTGTGCCTGGAGGTTTCCAGGATTAACTGCTCCAGCATTGTTGCTACAGTTTAAGTCTCAGTTCAAGAAAAAGAAATAATTGTTTGTAAAATAAATTACTGAAAATAATTCAGAATGCAGCAAATAGTGTACAGACTGCATATTCTGCCTTGTCTCAGTTAACAACATTGCTGGAAACTCTTCAGACATATTTATTCAGGGCCCAAACATTTTGTAAATGCAGAATAAGGGTCCTCTGTGCTATCTTCACAATTCACTGCCACTACACCTAGTAAAGCAAATGCTTTCCAAAACACTTAATAGACATTGCTAACTTTGGAGGAGGAGGAAGGACAGAGCTGAGATTGTATTGGCATGGGTCATAATACTTCATTTTATATAATTCACATGTGTGAAATGCTTTTTTTCCCCCAAAACAGTTTATTTATATTTTAAACAATCTCTTATATTTAATTTCTATTTGTCCTGGAGCAAGTGTATTTTAACTGTCTGCCTATGGCTGAAATACAAGATCAACCAATAGGTTTTTAGCATCTATAAGTAATTTTAGCTCAGTCAATGGTCTGAGCACATTGCCAAAGGGAAACTGACTCTCTAGAAATAAATTTGAGTTTTCTGGTCTTTTTGGGTTGTGTATCAACCTTGTAGTCCATTTGCAAGCAAAGGAAAATCCATTCTCACGCTACATATACAGGAAACACAGGCAAACTGCTTCATATTTAAGAAATTCTTTTTGAATGGATGGGCAAGAGAAATACAAAATATACTTCAGGTGCTCTGATTCACTACTCTCAGCTTCGTATGGTTTATGCTATTCCCAGCTCAAGTGAAACAAATAAAATTTCAGCAAAACTCAAGTGAAAACACACATGATTGAACATTCCAAGTATTTCAACTCTCTATATAATAAATTTATTGTTGCTATAATCCAGGGGCTGTTTACCAGGCAAAAAAGATTTAAGACTCCTGTGATTTAAAATCCATCCACAAAGGGATCATTTCTCTGATTGAAAGGGATCACAACTGCAGTTTTTATGTTTCAAATCTAAATTTCTCTGAATCATCAAGATGAATATATTCAGCCATCTCATATCCACATCCAGTTCAACCTACCACTCTTCTGCAAAAATCACTCATCTTATTATAATGAGGTTCATGTCCTCTTCACATCATCTCACTGGCTGTCTACAGAATGCATTAAAATAAGCTGTTGTCACACACAGCCTGAAACTTAAGCTGCCTTTGCTTCTGTCTGGATGCAATTCTGAAGACCACCTGTTGTTCTTTTATGTCATGCTTGTCCTCATACATTTTTTTAGAAAATTCCTCAAATACAGAGTGTTCTTCTAACCTTAGGTGACACATAAGCACACCTCTCTCCCTCAGGAGCTATCTCCACAAAAGCTCATATAAAATTGTGTTTATATTTTCCTTTAGGTTTTTACTAAAAGTTTAGGAGAGTTATGTAGTTCTCAGGATATGCATGGTGTTCCCTCAAGTAAATCCTAATCAGGATTGATTTTTCCATTTAGCTCTGACTTCAGTTATTCCTTATGTTGCCACTTCCTCCTCATAGCCATAAACACAGCCTGTGGCCCTTTCAGTGTGCTTATTCCCTGTAAATTTATTTTTATAAAAGCCCACACATGTCCAACTAACCAGCAACCACAGCTTTATGCTGTATTAAGGTCTCCAGGGACTGCAATGGAATCATTAGCATTAGAAAGGTAAGGAGTACTGGAGCCAAAATTATACACTCCTGCTCAAGGCAAAGTCTCTCCCTCCAGTGATTATACTGCTTTCTCTCAAAACCAAAATCTGATTAACATTATATATTATATATTTAAGGAAGGAGGTTTATGAGGCAAACAAAATGCAGATGCCAGGACAACACCTATCTTAATAAGAGGTATTAGGTGATCTCAAACATTTTATATTCTTTCAAAATGCCAGGGAATGAAAGGTATCCTTTCCTTTTCAAAATTAGGTAGATATCCCCATGTATATTGTTTAATAAGTTATTTACTCTTTAAAAAACATTTGTACTTCTACACAGACAAAAACAACTGATAAATATTTTTAAGGTGTTTATGTTTTTGAAGTGCAGTTGATGCAAACTAATTGCTGATCGATTTGTTTTTTAGATTACAGGAGTCTTTCATGTTATTTTCTAAGACATAAAGTGAACTCACCTTATATCAGGATGACCAGGTACATTATTCAGGTTATAATATCCATAATGATTTAGTATTTTAACAACAATCATTGGAGCCAAAGATTGGGCAGGCTTGGTAAATAAAGCATTGGTACCAAAAACCATAGAGGAAAGTGGTAATCTAAAAAATTTGGGGAAAAAACAAATTAATGCACAACACAAACTTAGTAGTGTATTAATTACAAGCATGATTTTAGAAAGCTTGAAATCCTGTTAATATGCAAATGCTAAATATCATGATCTTTAGATTTATCTAGTTCACACATTATAGCAAACAAACCTACTCTCATAATGAAATTTAAATTTATTTGGAAATTACAAACCTCTGTGGGGTGTGTGTATGTATATATATATATATAAGTATATATACACAGATATATACATAGACACAGCTTGGCCCCAGTTCTGAAGTGACTCGTACTTAAACTCAACTTTGTGCTCTTTGAGTAATTACTGAAGTTAAATTAGACTGAACAGTGCATGGAGAATTAATTACAACTGAAGATTTTGAATGCATAGGCCAGAAAATGAGGCAATTTTTTCGTCATGAAAGCAACAGATCTTCCCTTTGAGAGGCAAGTTCTTTAACAGGACTGAATCAACACTTACATAACAATTGATGGTACCAACAGGAAGTTATGTGCACTTTGATAAAAATCTAAAAGATCAATGAGCTGCAATATGCTATTCTGCAGCAGGTTTTATCACTCTTATTTCAGGGAGATAAAGGAATCAGTTAGATTTTGAAATCTGCACTTTACCTAGCATAGGCAAAGCTTTCTTAACACCTTTTCCATCTTGAAAAAGCCTTATTCAGAAAATTCCATACATGATTATAGATGTATCTGGTTACAAAATAATTCAATTGAAGCTAACAAAAATAAAGCCACAAAATTTGGAAGAACTTGGCTTATATTACAGTGTAAGAAAAAAGAGAAATTACCTAATAATCAGTTTAAATGACTCTACTGAAGTAGGAAACTTTACTCAAGTTCTGATCTTCACTTATACTAAGCTGGTCTCACAAAAAGAACTTCTGTATCAAAGATCTCAGATCATTTACTGTCTTTACTTTGACATAATTTATTACCAATGAGTAACAAGGCAAACACCATGTTTAAAAAATTGTAATGATGGACATACCTCCTCTTGTGCTTTATTAAATCTGCATCAATAATATCTGCCAAAGGCAAATTGAACAGGCTAAATGAAGCTTGCACAATTACCCTAAAGAAAAACAAAATATTGAAGATGTTCATAGTTCTTATATTCACTTTATAATGAAATTGAAACTGACATTCTAACACAAACACATGAACATTGATATTCTGCAAACACACAAAGCTGAAATGTTCTTTAAAACATGGTGATCTATCTGAAAGCATTACCAGATCTGTTCTTAGTTGTCAATTAGAAATTAATATGCAAACCTAAAAGTGGGAGGATTTCTTCTTTTTTATTTTGCTGGACATTGGTGTAAAAGGTCGTGCATACTTTGACAATAAATTTACATTTGATAATGTAAATGTAATTTAAAATTATCAAAAGAAAATAAACACCACAGAAAAAGGGAAAACTGTAAATTTGCTCTTGAAATCTGGAAAAGACATGACCATGTGGAAGATAAACTTCAAGGTGGAAGAATTAGAATAGAAAGACTAGTTTACATGCATTCCTATATATGTGTTTACAGTGTATATAGCTGTATATAGATATGCATTTAAACACATACATATAAAGCTGACTCTTAACAAATAGCCAAATGAAACAAACTCAAATATTACAATTTCTGTGTCTTATTAAATTTTGGGAGTGATGAGCTTTTACTAACAAGGTACTTTGAACAACTAGTACTTTAAACATACAGTCTTTAGGTACCTCAGAATTTTTTCTTGGAGAAATCAAAACACATCTTCATCATTTAAAACATGCAGATAACGAAATTCAATTTATTGTTCACACAATTCAGTGTTAGAGTAGCCCAGGACTGCAATACTGAAAATAAGAATGAAAACGGGCTGGGGAGGGAAAGACAAAGAAAGGCAGGAAAGAACAAGTAGAAAGACAACAATGAAAGAGAACATGAAGAAATAAAAACAAACTGCTGTAACAATATTCTGAGCAGCTCTTTATATTGAAATAAGGTTTTCCATGTATCATTATACACTTATGTGAAAACACTACTGCTTGGCATCTTACTACTGAGCACCAGTGGAAACGGGACTGTGCTGGTTACCCAACAGACCCCTGAGTTACCACATTTGCCTGCAGTGCAGCACACAAGTGTTCCTGCAATACAGGCTGAGGTCTGAGCTTTGCTAACAAACAAACCCTGGGGAGTTCCTCTGCTGAGCTCTTCCATGTCTGTGCAAAGCATGAGATTCTCCTTCCCTTGCATCCCAGGTTATGACTGGAGGCATGTGCCTGCAAACTGTAATTGCTGTTTGCATTTTAGGCTTTTTTATTTCAAGCAGAAAATAAAAGCTGAAAGAGAATAAAATGAAAGCTGAAAAAAAAAAAAGCTGCAACTGGAGTTTCAACTTTTCTGGTAAGTGAAACAGAATGAAAACCATGAGAGCAGAGGCAGAATCTTCATGGTAATTAAAGCAAGTGTCTACTCTGTTAGAAGTGTTTCATCTGTGTCTATGAACAGGGGAGTGGATTTACTTACATGTTTGTTGTAACATAAAATGCCAGCAGGTAATAGTGTTCTTGCCCTAGAAGGCACATGACAGCAGCAGCTACTCCTTCATAGTAAAATGAAAACATGATGATTCTGTAATAACCAAACTTCTTCAACGAAGCATGACTGAGAAGAACAAGGCACTGAAAAGATAATATATACACATATAGCATGAAAAATACAGTACAGTGTCTCAGCATTAAGAGAGCTATAAAACACAGACCTGACATAAGTAATACCCTTTAAAGAAAAAAAAAAAACCAAACAATGACCCTAAGAAGTTCAACAAAATAATAAAAATAGAAATTGAACAAAGACAACTCTCTACTGGCTCATTCTATCCTACCTCTACTAGGTACAGTCTCCTTTCACTCAAAAAGTAGCCACTAAGAACTGCTATATTCTGAGGGAAACACTGTTTCCCACAATGCCTAACTATTATTTAATGCTCATGATCTTCACTTTTATATATCCCTTATATATACTGCTTTGCAGTATGATAATTGTAAATCAAGGATCTTGCCATTTAACCGCTGATAAGACATATTTTCAATACATCTTTTTAATTAATATTACTATTTTCATTGACATTTCTAGAAATCAAGCATGATTTTTTGGCTTGGCAAAGCAAGTTCACCAGGACAGCTTTAAGTAAGCAAGTTAGAGGCTTTCCTAGCAAGCAGAGAAAGGCAGAGGCCAGTGCTTGTGCATGGCTGAGTTTTAATTTTGCCAATCTTGGCAAGATTCTGAGAATCTAGCGACTGGCTAACTCATGAAAACTATATTGAGTGCTGATTATATAGGAACAAAATTTAAGTTCTTATACATTGTTCCTCTCTCTTCCCTTTCAGTAGGACACTCTATAACGAATTATGTTCTTTTTATTATATGGGCCTTGTCACCATCTACATGGTCCTCATCTCTGTCACAAATATACAAACTGTATAAAGATCCACATTTTCTCCTTTCTTTTGTGCTACAGAGATGAACTGTGTAATATTCAGATGAAGAACAGGAAAGAATTTTCCTTGTACAATTGTTCCCACACTGAACTGCTTTAACATAACAATTAAAACCAGGATGCTACAGTCAGACAAAGATTACCATGGCAAATGCTATTGTTAAAAAGCTCAAGATTGCTACTTGATCAGGGAGGTAAAACAAATCTGGAAAGTTGGTATAAGAAAAACATCTTGTTATAAGAAATTTAAAATATATTCCTCTCTCCGGTTATTTTCAGGGGTCTTGCTGAAAAGTGCCTCCACTAGAAATACTAAGGGATCATTTAATGCCTGCTATTGTAAACACCATGTTCCTGTCTCCCTGTAATTGCAAAATAACCCTGTCTCAGGAAGTCCTTATGACTTAGAAAATTCCTCACTACTTGCACGTCTCTAAGACTGTGTGTTTGTAAAGAAAATACTAACAATGATGCAAATTCAAAGTTGTTTGTCTATGTTACAGCAACATTTTCCTTGTGGGCAGGTTGTATTCCTCACATCCACTACTAGAAGGAACCTATGTCAGAAGCTGAATTCTAGTTTAGTAGAGGCCACTGAAGCAGAGTTCATGAAAAGGAGCTTTATTTTACAAGGGTCGGGTGTTTTTCCAGTAAGTGAAGTTCAGGACATTGCCATCAGAGAATTCTCTTATTGTATCTTGAGCTCAAAGAGACAAAACCTGAGAAAAATAAGGTCACAGCAAACCCTCTATGGTTCAGTGACCTTCTAGACAAAGAGTCTCTGGGGACCAGAGAGAGACGCATTTTCTGAAAGATTGTTCTTTTCACACTGTCACACTGATTTCATCAATAAAAGTGATTGCTATATATTAAGTGTAAAATTATTTAAGCTTTTCTAACTTCTGTAGCTTCTGATTTATTTCCAAAGTTCATTATCTAACTGTCTGAGGAACAGGAGAAAACTCCAGAACTATTAAACCTGTGATAAGGACAAAAGCTGAAATTACAGATAGTTAGGAGTTACAGAACAGAAGGTACGTTCAGGATCTGTATGTTTTATATGCAAAAGCCAAAATGGGAACTGAAATTGAGCTGTGAATTCCAGTTGTACTATCATTTATCTTCTTATACATATTACTTATCAAAACCTATTACAATTTAATGAATAGAATAGCCTGATTTTATAAAATTCTAGATACCACCAGCCTATGATGAATGTCAGGATACTCATATTTTGAGTATCAACTTTCAACATCCAACAAGTAAACACAGAGAAAGTTTTTAAAGATCCAGAGAAAGAAGAAGGCAATGAGCAGAGGAATTTTTTATTTACTGCAGACAAGTATGGCCACATTCTGTGGGATATACTTTTGCTGCTTTTCTTGTTCTCACACATTACTCTTTTGGGATCTCTTTGTCTTATCAGTTCATTACTCCTCCCATCATCCCTGACTGGGCTCTTAAAAGTATGTCTCTCTTCCCCATAAATACTGCTGGCCAAGAGACCAAACAACAAAATAAATGGGAATGCATTGTTCTCCAAAAGCAGCTATTTAGAGTCTTGTTTGGTTTTCATGACTGAGATGACACATATTTTAACAATGCTTTTCATATTTTATAATTTTTTTCTGGTATTTTGTGCAGTTTATTTCAGAAACTTCCTGAAGAAGAGTTTAGTCTTTCATTTGTAATATATAATATTAGAAAACAAAACAAAACAAAAAAGAATTCAGAATTCTGTAGATTTTGCTTTTTGAAACGTTTGATCTTGGCCATGTTTTTCATTCCTTTATGCTTAGGTATTATAAGCACTGGAGGAGGTTACAAAACATTCATTGCTTGCCTACTCATGTCTCACATTGCTTTAAACAGATATTCTACCAGCCTGTCTGTCTGCTCTCTCTACCTCTTACACTCGATCAGCCTGCACAGAGGTATTTTCTTCTTCCAGAGAAATGGGGAATGAGATTTAGTACTCATTTTGGCCAATGCCAAATACAGCATTTTTTCAAGTGTTAAATGGATACTGTGAACTACTAAAACACCAGGTTTTCATATTTAGAAATAAAGAAGTATGACTACCTACCTGAGGACAAATAAAACCTGCTCCATACATGATACTTCTTACTGAGGAAGAAAGGATATCCTTAGGAATAAGATTATCTGCAAAGATCATCATAAAATTGTTGTAGAAGGCTAAGTGGAAGACTTGGAAGAAGTTCATTGTTACAAAACATAGAAAATTCTTCTCTGTCATGATCTGTTTGGTCAATGAAACTACCGAGGCCAAGGAGAAAGCTCCATCACTGTTTTCCAGATTAGCATCCTCCGTATGAATTTCTCTCTGCTCGTACTGACTCGTGCTGTATTTACCCGTGCAGCACATACAGGCTGTCGCCAGCGCCGCGATCAACACAGCGAAAGCCTGAAAATAAGCGAACTTTTCCATGTTATCAGACACAAGCCCGCAGAACAGAACGCTCGTGGACGCCATCAGCGTCGCCACTTGGTTGTACTTGATGAGCCGGAGCCTGCCGTGGTGGCCGCTGGAGCTCTCGGCGAAGAGCGCGCACTGCGCCAGGAGCACGAAGGTCAGCAGCCCGTCGAAGGCGCACAGCGCGACGATGAGGTGCAGGCCACACAGCCAGTCCCCCTCCTCGTAGTGCCTCCAGGGGAACCAGGGCAGCAGGAAGGCCAGGCCGTACAAAGGGGCTCCGTACAAAATCGAGACCTGGCGCCTCGCGCAGCACTCCAGCCTGGAGGTGTCCTGGATGTAGCCGAACAGGGGATCGTTGATGGCGTTCCAGATCATGAACACAACCTGCCACAAACGAGGGCATTTGTCACTACTGTCATTCTTCTACAGAGGTTACACAAACACATTTATTTAAAATAAAACCCTATTCAGACAGTAAATAAATACATAGAAAAGCTATTCAGGTCAAAACAGACTCTGAAACAAATTCTTATCAGTGTTCATAAGTTTATAGAAATTCTGAAAAAAATAAGCAGGTAGGTGACCAACTGCATGTGAAATAAACTGTCTCTCAGACTCCACTCTTTCAAAACCTTATATATCTAGGCTTTCATCCTGCAAAGCTCAGATATTATTCTCACAGCAAGTTAATTCAAAACACGAGCTGGCCCATTACTTTCAGAAGACCATTTACAGCAAGAGTTACTCACGTGGATAATGACTTGCAGGATAAATGCAATATTTAAGGACTTAAATAGCTCATAGGAAAGCACTCATGTCAAACTTATCTATGGAGCTAAGGTGCAAGATCAGTTCAGAAAATTACTTCAAGCTATCAAACATAAAAATCTTTTCAGCAATTAAGACTGGAGCTTTTTACTTTATGGACTGTAAACAATGTGCTTTATGTGTAAGTTCCGTTGCTTATGGATTAACTAAAGTCAAAGATAATTAATTGCAATGATTCCAAAATTAATCTGTCATTAAAAGAATCACTTCGTTGTAATAACACTGACACATAGCACAACGTGGTAATCAAAATATTCCATTGTACATTACCTGTGCTACATGAAATGCTGTTTCTGAAATTTGGTATCGGTTTAGGAAAAGCTTAACATAGTAGAAGTTAAAAATGCTGTTCATCATTCCAGCACCTAAGGTAGTCATGGAATATGCCAGTGCATTAGAATGAATTCCCGAAAGAAGTTTCATCTTCCCAAGAGTACAGCTTTCTTCTTCCTCAAGTTACAAAAGAGAATTAAAACAATTAGTAGAATAATTTTTCAAATTAAAACATGGGGGATTTGCTTGATTCAGAGGTGCAGAAATGGATTATTGGAGGAAAATTTTCCCATTATTCCTTTTTTTTTTTAATTGGAAACATATTTTACTGAGTTGTAAGACACTGAGCCCAAAATAATAAGTTATTAGGTGACATTTCTAAGTATAATCAGGACTTAAAAGTCAATGGAACAAATAGACAAACATTTAAAAGAAACCCTTCCTAACTGATGTATAGACTCCACTTAAAAACCTGCAATTGCAAACACTCACCTTGGTATAGAGTTCAAAGTAATTGCATATATTTTAGATCTTTCTTGCTAGCTATTCTTAAAATTATGGACTGTGTTGGAATGAAATGACTCAACTCCTTATGTACTCCAATTCTATGAATGTCAAATGCAGCGTGCACGTAGGGGAATATTTCTTTCAAAACAAATACCAAGTTTTGCCCTTCTATTCTAAAATACGAATTGTTAAGAAGTAATGGAATCAATACTTTCCTAATAAACCATAAAACAAAACAAAACACCTTTAAATTAACATTTTCATGATATGAAGACTGAATGTAAATAAAATTTAGCAAGTGGCATACACAGCATTTTATGTATACCAAATAACAAAGATTCATCCTAAGAATACAGGTTGCTTTAATCTATTAATCAGATATTCAGCCAACACATTTTTAAGATGCTGATCTTTTCCATCAATTACCTCAATGTGTTTGGTGTAAATTATGACATGGAAAAAGCCAGCTCCAGGGAACCTCTACCTTTTAAAGCTGTTTAATAGCTACCTAAAAGTAGTCCTTAACCATACTTGATTCTACAATCCCAATACATAATTACTCCTAGGTATCTGTTTTTAACTGAGGCTTTATTAATTTTTACATTTGTTGAAGGAAGCTGTCTGCTCATAATCTTGGTATCTCAAGTTCAAATGTCAGTCTTACGATGCAGAGCTTTACAACCTGCTTTACATCAACAGTTCCCACTTTGCTCCTCTGCATATTAATACTTCTACCCTAAATGCAATTTTCACATATCCATCAAAATATCTAGTTTGAATATCTGCTTGATCAGCAGCTCTATAGGCAGCTCCCTGAACTCCTCATAAAAATAACCATGGAAGAGACAGGAAATGAAAGCCAAGGCTGTTTCCAGCCTTCCTGTGGTTTACAAGGCAGCTGAAGAGAGGCTGCTGTGCAGGAAGGGAGGAACTTCCGAATCACCACGCAAGGACCACACAAAAGCCACAAACCAGGTAGGGACTGGGGAAGATGGAACAAGCAGTTTTTCCATCCCCCAACATGGAGAATGAACTCTTGAAGAACAAATAAACAGTGGATGCACTTTTTCATATATATGTAAGATGCTGTGATATGAAACATTGTGCAAAGAGTAGGTAACTTCATTCTATAGCCAAGAAAAGAATCGAGCTGACAAACAGGATTCGTTTTATTAAAGCCAATTTACTTCTAAGAATATGACTGATTTTTTTTAATATTTGAGAATGAACATGATGTATATCTTCAGACTTTTCTACATTTGTAAAGGCAATACCATTTTCAGGGGATGAAATTTTGCATTTTTGTAGCAAGCTTGGTTTCACAGTCTTTTATTGAGAAACCTAAAATGAAGAAAAAGGTTATTGAAAAGGTGTACAATTGAAACGTTTATTTTTAAAAGTTTGATATTAATATGAAAGTCATTACAATGAGTATGTTATTGGCAAGAGTCACATTTGCTTTTTCAAGACTTCACAAATATACTTAAATTATTTATATAGTGGATATTAGGGCTTTTAGAAAGGTAGACGTTTCACCTCTATTTCTGCTTGGAGCACCCTGCACAGGTTTTCAAAATGGAGAACTGGGAGACTACTTTCCTTCAAATTCCACAAGCACCAAGAACAAAAGTGCTTCACAGTAACATTACCAGCAGTCATTTCTAAATTGACTTGATTCCTGACACAAATATAAAATGGTTCCCTCAATTTCCGAAAATTTGAAAGATAATTGAAAATTCTTCAACAAAAATCTTCTAACAATGCACAAACTGGCCTCTAGTACCGTGACTAATTATAATATGCAGGATCTGACATAACTCTACCCTAATTGGTACATCTAGCCCTGCACCTTGTTTATGAAATAGGTTCAATTAGAAGTTGAGGTACCACACTTCCTTCCCCAGATGTTCCCTTTAATAGCATTACAATGAAATCATGCATGAGCATCCCCTCCCTCTTAATAGTCAGCCTTTATATTGAGCAGGTTAAAGCACAGGTGAACATTTTGTGACTCACAGAAGGCAAATCGGTTTCAGAAATTTCTGGTGGCTACAATTGTGTTAATACTCAGAGGCCGAAAGAACAGACTGTTCGGGCCAGTGGGATGCAGCGTGACATTACCTGCGCTTCTCCCAGAGCAGGATGACAACTGCTAAAAGAAATTAGAACAAGAGTCTAAAGAAGAAAAGTGGTTCCGAGAGATAATAGCAAACGCTGCCCGAGGCGCACTAGCTGAGATCCTGCTCTGCCGTTCTGGCTCCCAAACCGCTGTGCAATGCTCACAGCCCTGACAGGTTGGACACACGGATCTTCCTCATCCTTCTGACGTGACTGGCACCACATTAAGAGGGAAGCCAGAACAAACGCGCTGCTAGTGCCGAGGGGCAGCACTGAGGGGAAATGCTCGGGGATGCTCACAGAGGCAGCCGGGCTGTGGAACCGGCCCGTGCCCGCTCCGCCAGCGCTGCGGGGCTGCGCTCCGGCCACGCACGGGGCTCGGGGAGCTCGCAGGACGGCACCTTTGGAAGAGCTCGTCTGTGAAGAATGGGGAAGTTACGCTCGTTTTTCTCAGCAGGTTCCTGGACAGGAAACACGGCTCCCTCCGCTTTGTGTGGAAAAGAGGCTAAGAGTGAGAGGCGTCCGCTCGACCAAGGTGCGGCGATGGAGCCAGCCCTTTTCGGGCTGCAGGCTCCCCGCTCCGCCCTCCCCTCCCGCACTCCGGCGGAGAGGCGGCCCGCACCTGGACGCCACATCGGGTCCCTCCTCACGGGCTCTTCCCTCACCGCTCCCAATGCCGGGCAACTACGAGCCCTGGCTTTCCCTACGCCAAATCGCACTGTCCCACTCCGGGCTGTGCCAGCCCTCCTCCACCATAAGCCGCAGCCGGCATCCCTCAGCAGCCGCTCCCCGCCATCAACGCCCCGGAGCGCCTGCGACCACCGCCCCTACGAGCGGCACCGACCCACCTCTTCTGACGGGAGGCCGCGCACCGCGGGGCGGGCCGGGGCGGGGCGCGGCTGCCCCAGGACCGCCCCCTCTTCACTCTCATTGGTCGCTTGATATGAAATCATTTCGTGATTAGTGTATCTTCCTTTCGATCTCTGCGGCGGGCGGCTCCCCATTGGCTGCCTGCCGGCGAGGCGAGGCAAGGCGAGGGTTCTGTGTTTGAATCGCGGGAGGCGGGGGCGGGCGGCGGCAGCAGTTGCCACGTTGCCGCCGGCGCAGCCCGGCCAGAAGGGGGAGAGGTTCGGCAAAGTCCGGAACCGCTCGGCAATGGCCGGAGGCGGCTGCTGAGGCGGGGAGCGGCTGCCGGCTCGCTCTGCCCCGCTCGCTGCAAGGGGGATCGCGGGGTGGGCGCCGCCGGCTCAGCCGCCCGTGAGGGGAAGGGGCGCGATGCTGGCCGATAGTCTGGTGGAGGAGTTCGAAATCCGCGAGGATGAGCCCTGGTACGACCAGCAGGACCTGCAGCAAGGTGAGCCGGGCGGCGGCGGGGGGCGTGTGAGGGAGGATGTGTAGCGAGCCGGGTGTGTGAAGGAAGGGGCCGGGGGAACCGCCGCAGGGGTCAGGGCAGGGGCCGCGTTGGGCGGGGCGTGTGAGGCGAGGGGCTGTGGGGAGCCGCCGGGCGCGGGGTGTGTGAGGGCAGGGGCTGCGGCGGGGAGGGCGTGTGAGGGAAGGGGCCGCGGCGGGGAGGCGGCGGCTCCGAGGCGGTGAGGGGCGCCGGGAAGGGCGCTCGGGGCCGGGGGTAGCGGCGGGCCCGTCGGTCGTGCCGGGCTCGGAGCCCGGGATCCCCGCACGGCCGCGCTTCCCGCCGCCGCGGAATCGCTGTCACCGGGAACGACTGCGGCCGTCTTTGTCTGAGGGAAGGAGGTGCGGCAGCCGAGCTGAATGGTGCCGGGGTCCCTCTCCGCCCGGAGGGAGGAAAGCGGCTCTCCGAAAAGTTGCACCTTTCACGGGAGGTGAAGGTGCTCTGTTCGGGGCAGGCGCTGGAAGCACCGGGCTAGGATGCGCTATTGCGCCCTGTTGAGTTCTTTGTAAGGGCTTCCAGTCGATGAAGTTGTAGTCGTAGCAGTGCTCGATTCGTTACAGGTTCCTTATTAGAAACTCTTTAGGTTTTCTTAATAAAATATCAAATAATTCCACTACTCCTCAGAAATATACATGTTTAGCTTCTGTATGTAATTCCATCAGTAGGTCTTAAAACACCACATGCGAGAGGTAAATGCTGTTCATTTCACAAATGAGAAAGGAACCACAGGAATACAAGTATAATTGCACTAAAAATCTTTTAACAGGCATGATATGGAAAGAATGTGCAATTTCCTTAAGAGCTTAGTGGTGTTTATGACTAGTATTTACTTAAGTTACTTAGTTCTACTTTTTGTTCTTAATCCCGAGTTTGTTTTGAAAAGCCAGCTCAAAGCTGTGGCTTCCTGAAAACCTGCTCCAGTCTTACGTGTTTTGCTTTTATATTGAAATACATTAATTCTTGGGATTGGAGGGTGCTGCTGTACTGTAAACCATAGAGAAAGCCAGGCAGTATTCACACTGACATCAAGTATTTGACAGCAGAAACTCTTTTTGAGACGGGACCAGGTCTCTCTAATTGTATGCTATATAAAATAGCTAAATGAAAGCTGTATTTAGGTACTCCTCACCCAAAATTGATGTTTTCCTGGCTCTAGGATACAAACAAATCAGTTGAAATAAGATCCTGAAACTACAGTTTGCTGTCAAAGGGAAGAGAGTGAAAAATTTGAAGACATGATTTTACTTTGTCAGTGTTTATGGATTAGAAGACCTAAAAAGAGACTTCACAATGTATAACTGCTGACTTCTTGCCTTCTTGATGTTTTTCTACTTTCATATTTTAATTAAAATGAGTGAAATAATCACCAGTTGACTCTGCTGTCAGCTTTTAAGAAACATTCCATTCTAGAGGTTAGTGTGTTTTGGGGGTTCGGTTAATGTACCTCAACATGTGGACAATCTTTTTCTGGGGATTCTCTCTTTACAAGCCTAAACGGAAGCCACGAATAGCCTTGCCAAAAGGAAAAGGAGGAAAATAAAGTGATGGGCAAGTTGAAATTCAAAGAAGAAATTCCTTACAGGAATGTTTTTTAAACGTTGTGCTATACTTCCTTTCCGGACTCTGAAGGATACTACTCCTCCTGCTGCTAAGGCTGAGACACACGGATGTGTGTAAACAGGGTAGTAAGAGTGCTTATCAAGGTCTCGTGAAACTTCACAACCCAAACAATCAGTGCATGTTTAAAAACTGACGACTATGATTATGAGAACCTCGGTTGTAAAACATTAGAAGGCACCCTGAAACAAGCTTGAAGTCCTTGTCAGTTGGTCTTTGAAACTTAAAATTACAGTAGGGGTTTTGGAAAACCTTGATAGTCTTCATAGGTACCAAAGATTTTTGCCTTGACAGTAGAGATGGGCTTTTCTGGCATACTGCTCATGCATAAAGTGCTCATGGAATTCTTGTAAGGATGGGAACAGCCATCCTGCTGCAATGTTTTGCTGAAGTATGCTGACCTTTAAAAAAGAATTTTTTTATATGGACTGTTCTTTTTGCATCTTGCTATTACTCACTTTTACAAAACAGAGGGTATCCTGAATATGAAATAGGAAACTAAGTAGGAAAAAAGTTTTCATTTTACAGTTAACTTACACTAGGCTTACTTATACATCTTGTGCAGTTAGTGCCTTTTGCTGTTCAAAAGAATAAGCTTAATTTTAGATTGAAAATTCTCTGAATAATTTTGTTAGGTGGGTTATGAAAAAATAAAGAAGAATAGAATAGAAGAATAGAAGAATTTTGATACTGTTTTATCCTTTTTTCAATGATGGTAATGCAGTCAGAAGAGATAGTGAAGCAGTGGTAACTGAGGACTGTTCAACATCACGGGAGACATCCTTTAAGTCTTATTTTGGAGGTTTCTGATGGTGCTGTTAAACACCAGTACAACTAATCAGATTTACTAAAATGAAGATCTTTAGATCTGCACATACGCATTTTGCATTATTAAAATCCTCTCTGCTTCCATCTTTATGGTGAAAAGGAAAAAGGCATGTCTGTCAGAATTTAGCGGTTGCTTTACATAAATTTACAACAGAAAAATGTAGTTTTGCTTCTAGTGTTCTACCATAACTCTCTCCAGAGAAATGTAAATTAATACTTTACATATTGTATCTGGCACATCTCTGCTGTAAAATTTGCTCCTTACAGGGCTTCCAGGTACTTGACAATGTAGAAGAACGGATACAAAAATTTTCTGAATTTTAGAAGAGATGAAATTGTTTCAGAACCTGCTTTCTCTAGAGTTAAGGCTTTATTGTATGTTCCTGAGTGCTCCCACTTGTATTTTCCCCCTCAGAAACAAATTGCCTTAATTATAAAAGTGTTTCTTCCATAGTAACCCATTTGTGCTTCTTGCAGTCTAACGAACAGAATGAGTGTGAAGTATGACATGAATTCTATTATTCACCTTGTATTCCAAGTATTGTGTGGTATGTGCTATTTGATTTAGTAGATGAGGGGGCATTTAAGAATGAAGCCATAAACTCCTAAATGTACTTAAACATGAAAACCAACTTTCACTTCAGGAAGGGAAGTGGTAGTAATTCCATTATGCATTATATCTTTAACATAATCCTAAATCCTCTCTAAAGCTCTTATTCTACTCTATTAAAATAAAAGAATAGACTATTTAGTCTTTGCCTTGAATGATGCTAGTATTGTTTTAAAGATGGTGGTTCCTAGGAAAGATCTGTGCAGTACGAGAACTTGTGAAGCAGAACTCCATTTCCTATAGGATAATGAATTCATTGAATTTGAAGACTACAGTATTCTGTAACGAGATAGAACAAACAGCTTGGTGTTTGACTGGGAGTTATTCTGTCCATGGGTAAACAATGTGCAATCTGTTTACCAAATGGGAAAAATTTAAGCAGGATGCCTTAAGTTTTCCTTATCCAAATGCTTTAAATCCTGCTTCTTAATGAATGGTGCTACAGTGAAGAAGTGATGTGAATATAAACTCCTAAGTATAGACCAATATGCCTTGTGCCTTCTAATTGTACCTCTTGTGAAACTGAAGAACTCCCATGCAGTGGGATTTCTTTTAGGTAATTTTTACGGCATTAATGCTAAGAATCTGACCTTAAGGTAGGAAACAAGGCATTGTGGCTGTAAAGAATGTGTAAAGAATAGCACAGCTGTTGTTTTGCCAGAATTGGATATCAACAGCTTCATAGACAAATGTTTGTACTGACTTGTCCTTGTAAGTCTGAATTTGGTCTTTGGCTTATGTGTGGAGATGGAGTAATCGTTGTGGACAGGCTGCCAAACTGAAGGTTAGCACAAAACAATCTTGGAGCAGTATTGTATGTATTACAGTTCCTAGCTGATAAGATAACTGAGAGGGGGCAGGAAAGAGGTAGCACAACATGTTAAAAAAGGGCATCACAGTCAAATGAAAGTGGAATTAATGTGTTTACTTCCCTGGCTGTAACTACTGATGATGCAATACATGTCTGCTGTTTATTAATTTAAGACTTCTTGATGTGACTCAAAGTTTTTCTTGACTTTTCTTCTCTTTCTGATTAATGATACAAGTCCTATGTGAGAACTAACTAGGTGGTATTGCATGCATGCAGGTCATGGGTCATGTGATGGGAAGGAGGTGGAAAATAAGAGCTTTCTAGAAATCTGTTGGATCTTTGATGTGTAATACCCTCCACAGAGTAACTACAATTTTAGTATTAATACCAAGATTTATTACTTTGTCACATTATGTTAGCTTTTAAATTACTTATCTTTCAACATAATAGTACAGAATATCTAGCACTTCTGATGCTGTTGAGCAAATATCAAGCTTCCCTCTAGAATAGAGCTGAGTGTTCAGATGACTTATTTCTTAATTTGCAACAACTACAGTCACTGCACCCTGGAGGTGATTGAAGATGACTGAAGTGAAATTGAGATTAAGTGCCTGAGAACAAATGACATTTAAAGTGATGTTTTGGAGCACATTAAATAGTTCTTGCCACCTGGGTTTATGAGCTTGAAAAGCAGAATAGCTGCAAGTCTTCATCAGTTTTATGTCTTCTGATATTATTGTTTCACCATAAAAAGCATCTGAAACTTTCATTTAGCACTTTGATGCTGTGTGACCTGGACTCTGGTAGAGGGTAATGGGGAGGAACAGTCAAGTCAATAAAGAGTTCATCAGCTTTGGCCTGGGTCTAGACTGATGAGCATTTGCAGGGTCTGCTGTCCTTTTTCTCCCGAGTGCTGCAAAGAGGGGGAAGCCCAAGAGACCTTGGGCAGAGCTGGTGTAGACTGGGCACAGTGTGGGAGGTGAACATGGCTGGGTGTGCCTGAGGAAGCTTCAAGAAATCAAAGTGTCTCTGGGCCTCAGGGCTCACCTAGACTTGCATTAGAGATGGTAGATGAATGTTCTACTTAGTATCAGCTAACTTCCATGTTGGGTACTGGAGATTACTTGGAGCAGTTATAACAGCAATAAGAAAATATGTCAAATATTTGATAACAGGCTTTAGAATTAGATTACATCATTGTTTCTCTCACTTACATGCAAACATAATTTCTTTGTTTAGATCTTCACCTTGCTGCTGAGCTTGGCAAGACACTACTGGACCGTAACACCGAACTAGAAGAATCCTTACAGCAAATGTATGCAACAAATCAAGAGCAATTGCAGGAGATAGAGGTAAAATATCTAAAGGATCCCCATGTGAAAGCATCTAAACCTGCAACATACAGTATATAAGTTAAGATCTGAATTTCTTGAGCTTTAATGGAAAACACTGAACAATCTTTCACCACTTCAGCTATTTTGAGAATTTGAGAACCAGTATAGGTGGCTCATACTTAGAACTGTTTCTCTGATTACCAGAAGCTTTGTGCCACTAAATGTTGGATTTGGTTTGTTTAATGAAAAATTACTGGTATTTTTCAGTTCTGTACAGAAAAGATATTTCAGTTATTTTTATTGCTAAACTTTGCTGATCTTGCCAGGTAAAATAACATTTAATTATATGATGATAAATACATTAATAATGTAAATATTACGTGAGAGTTTTAATGATTGTAGCACTGAAATTTAAATGCTGATAAGTGCAGAATTGAGATTTAAGTAAAATCTGAAGATATGTACTTCCAGTAAACTGAGCTGTGATAAAGGGAGATAAAGTCTATTTGAATATAGAAGAAACCCTGCAAGGACAAGGAAAAAAAACCCACCAACCAACCATCAAAAAATAGAAAAAAATCCCACTTAAGTAGTATCTAAATATAGGATACAGTGGATATATTGTTCCATATTTTCCAGGGAAAAAACCCAAAAACACAACCATTCTTTCAAAACCACTCATCTCTAGGTAATAGAGTGGAAAAACCTGGCTATTTTTGGAAAATTTTCTTTTTTTTTAATATTGCCTGTGTTCTTGCAGACCTAGCATTTGTCAGCATAATGAGATTTTTTTCAGCTATTAGAGGGCAATGCATGGTCTCTAATAATTAAATTATTAAATATTCAGGACTTTGCTGACTGACAACATATTGAAAACACAGTCAGCATTTCAGTTTGGTTCTGGTGTGAATCACAGGGAACAGGCTGTGACTGGTATGTACCAGATTTTTACAAAATCTGAGTTCCTTTGTTCTAGCAGTACTGCAGTTAGAGATGTGCATTTTGTACAGCTGCAACTTCAGACTGAAAACACTCACTATTGTAGTGGCAACAGGTAACTGAAAGAATGCTAACCATAATAATTACAGAATTAGAGGTGTCTTTAAAGTAGTGAACACAAATGCAGCATTTTTAGTAAGTAATGAGTGATTTCTGAGTGCAGGTTTGATTTGTGGGCGTTTTTAGAAGTTACTTTTGTTTTGTACCTCATCTGTTGGCTCTTTCTTCTGTTATGTGCTAACTATAATCTTTGTTACCCTGTTCATCTTGAGATACCATGGTTGGAATGGCTGATATTTATATTACTGCCACAGCGTTAGAAGATATATTTACTTATGCAGAGACTGAAAATACCTCATTGCCATGAATGGTTTTTATAAAAAGATTAATTCTTAAGGTGTAGAGAGGACAAACACTTCCGAGGTGCTATACAAATACTGTACACAAGGTAATTGTATGAACAACCATATTTAAGAAAGCATTCAGCAGAGTTACAACACACCTTTTGAAATAAGGCACCAGAACTTTGTGATAGGCAACTAACCTGGCTGATCAAGTGTAGCTACTTAAAAGCAGCTGTATTTTAACACTCTCTATAAATGTGGAAAATACATTATTGCTAAGCTACATTGATGTACAGAAATAGTCTAGTGCTGTTAAGAATGCAATATCCTATTGGTTTAAGCCAGTTTGTTTGCTTAAGCTGTTCTGTAGTTCAGTGTTTATAGAGGACATAAGAGAGCTTTAGCTCCAGAAGTGTCACAAATGTCCTTCCAGCAGTGATCTATAGTTGGTGTGTTGCAGGGGCAAGAACCTGTGGTCAGACAGACTCAGACATGACACATTAATTTTTTCTTTCAATGTCTTGCTCTACCAAGACTTTGGCAATACTAGTTTTTGAAGGCTTTATCTGATACCTTTTCAATATCTTTCTTCCTCTCCCTCAAGGAGAGTGGGAGATGTGTATTGGATTGTCCTATTAGCTCCCTCCAAGAGGAGAGGGAAAGAGTGGGAGAACACTGCCACAACAAGAGTTTTTGTGATGCTTCTGACATATAAGTAGTGCCTGCACCTTTGCCCAGCTTGTTGAGCCAAAGACTGTATTTGTATCTGCTGTAGTAACATGCTGTCTTCTCAGTGCTATCTCCTGTCTCAATCTTTTCTCTTTCCTCAGTGCCATTTAAAAGTGTAATAGCAGCACAAAATTTTTTCTTTCTCCAAAGAAGTTTCTCTTGCATCTGGATTTCTGGCAGAAAAGGGAAAATGAACCTCTTGTTCAACTACCCAGAGAAACCCTTCAGTTGAGGAACTATTACACAAATTCACCGAAACAAATGGGAATGAAATTTGCATGTGCAAGGTGTAAAGCAGTTCAATCTATTCTTTTCATACCAGCACTGCTGTCTCTTGTGGGATCACAGGATACCCTATTGCACAGGATACATGTGCAAATGGCATATTCAGTCTCTATACTTAATTTTTCCCAGTTTTCAAGTGCTTGTCTCTGTAACCTACATATGATCTTTCAGCTATTCCTGTAGCTACTCTGTTGAATTTCTGTACAATCTTTTTCAGTGCACTATATCCATGTAAATCTTTGGGACCCTTTTCCTATTAATTTGGATCTTACAGGTAGAAAAGTCTATAACTGGCAGAAAATCATTCTGAAATATGGCACTGTCTTGTCTGCACTGGAAGGGAAGGGTCAAAGGCTGCAGTGTGCTTAAGATTACATCTCATATACTAAATACTAACACATAAAGAATTTTACAGCTTTGGATCATTATATCTGACCTTTGTGCTGACACGTGTGCCACTAACTAATCACTGTAGTAATAAATAAATAGTAATAAAGGAGTAGTAATAAAATAAAAAGTAAAAAAGGCTGCATGGAAACAGCAACTTCCTTCCTGAATCAATTCTCCGCACTCAGGTGTTGGAAATTGTGACACTAGGCAATTTTCATATGCTAGAATGCAAGGTGCTGCTTCATGTAAGGGACATAGATTAAACGTGAACTTCTCAAGTATTTATTCCATCATCTTTGGTGGTCTGGTTATGCCAGGTCAGCTGAACACCAGCCCTGAAGATACTGGAGATGGAAGGTGGAGGAAGTGGTACTTCAACCCTTCCATTCATCTGGAATTTCTACAAAAGCCCATTGTAACAAGAGGCAACATCTCTTCAGGCACCAAAGCCTTGGCTCCTGTGCTTAGGCACATTCGTATTGCTGAAGAAAATCTGAGGATCTCCAGCTCCTTCCTTCAGCTACAACCAATAGGGAAAGTTAATCTGAAATGGGTCACATTGAGATTCTACTGCTAATCTATGTTCTATTTTTGTGTAAATCCTCTGTCATGTGTGCACAGGCTACAAAAGGATCTAGCCAACAGCTATCATGTTGATCTTCTAGAAGTCTGTATGGAGCAGTTACTAGTCCTAGATTAACTTATTATCTGTTCTTAAATTGCCTAAAATGTAAACCCACCAATCTTTTAATGAGGTAAAAGGTTAAGTAGAATATTAGAAGTTTTGAGTATGTAACAGGCCTATGTAAAGAGAAGTAATTCTGCCTAGGAGTTTGCTGTATGTTCTTATTTGAAGCTTAGCTTTAAGAAAGTAACATGTAGCAATGCAGAATATATGGTAAAATAGAGATTTTATATAAGAACAAAATATTTCAGATTTAGGGGGTTAGACTCAAACAGAAAAGAACTGTCTCATGTAAATGCTTATGTCCTGGGTGGGAGAATATAATATCCTTTTTTAAAAAAAATTTCTTTTAAAGAGATTTAGGTGATTGTGAACTGATTAGACTAAGAATTCCAAGCTTTCTGACGTTATTCTGGAAACCAAACAGTCTGTGTAGTTAATTGTAAAACTCAAGAGGATTAAACTGAGAGTATTTTATGTGAGGCTTTATTTTTCTAAAAAAGGCCAGGAGACCTTTGTTTGGGATTACAGTAACTGGAATAGTTCCCTGTGAGTAATTAAAGATTTGAATTCAATAACTTGATTGTACTTCTTGACACATATTAGTCCACATACTGTCTAAAGACTGATCACAACATAAATTCTGCTGTGCTGAACCTAATGCTGCTTCAGACTGGAAGAACTTCGGTCAGCTGAAAGTACATTTAATTTTGGATGGTGCTGCCCAATATTTCAGTTTTAATGTTGAGAAAGTTGTTGGGTTAACATAGTTTAGAAGTTTCTGTTGGAGCACACTTCAACCTTTAGGACACAGTGGACAGGTAAGGGCTGTGTTGGAGCCTGAAGGCTCTATCAGTGCTGACTGCAGCACAGGCTCATTGAGAAAGCACAGATAAAGACAAACTGGCACCATCAAACCCAGCTCCTCCAGGTAAGGGCTGCTTTCTCAGCCTCAGGTGACCTCCATGACAAAGGCAAGCTGCCTAGCAAGTTACTGATAGTGTCTCTTCAGCTTACCAAAGCAAACACGGGAATTTGCAGGAATTTTAATTTAAAAAACTCAGGAGTTTCTCTCCGAGTGTGAACAAAAATGCAGCATAGGAGCTGTAGCTTGTGTTTCAAGAGTAAACCAGTAACAGCAGAATGTCTTGCAGTACCTCACAAAGCAAGTGGAGCTCCTGCGACAGATGAATGACCAGCATGCAAAAGTCTATGAGCAGCTGGATGTGACAGCAAGAGAACTGGAAGACACTAATCAAAAACTGGTTGCAGAGAGTAGAGCTTCACAACAAAAGATAATAAGGTAACAAACTCTTACAGATTTCCCCCCCCCCCAGCTGTTAATATCGGTAAGAGCAGTCCAGGTGTATTTCTGTAGTTACTGGGTATCTGTCTCTGTCTAGTACTGTTCTACAATACTGGCAAATTGAAGGGTTAGTTTTATTTAAAGGCCTTTTCACCTTTTAGCTTGACAGAGACTATTGAAAGTCTACAAACACACATAGATGACCTGCAGCGACAAGTGGAAGAACTGAAGAAGCCTGGACGAGGCCGGATGAGCCAGGAGAGATCTGAGCAGCCAAGATCAATGCACAGTTTCTCATGTTTGAAGGAGCTGTATGACCTCCGCCAGTAAGACTTTTAACCTTACATAGTAAAGAACACTGAAACTATTTTAAGCAAAACTTTAAAACCTAAGACACAAGCACAGATACCAGATAAGCAGGAAAAAAACTACCTGATGCTCACTCAATTAGCAAAGTATCTCTGCTGTGTGGTACTGTCATTACTTCTGGCCTGCTTCTAGACCACACTGGTATTGGTGCTCCACTTTCTCCTCTGAGCCAGCCATATAAAGTAGTAGCCTAGAAAACTTACAACAATTTGCACCCCAGTGTTTTCAGTCAGATAAAAGCAAACACACAAATAATCTGAAAAACAAACTTACTAAATGCAAAATATTTCATGTAACTTACTCTTTCCTTGGATGTCCATGGATGTTTCCTTAGCTTTTTTTAACTTAAGCTGGTTAAAGTGATACCTAAGCTGGGAAAATGGTGCCTGGGCTGCTGGGATGCCTTTTAAATGTAGAGCTAGAGCCATTTGACTCAGGTGAACTGCATTAGTGGGGCCAAAGGGACAATCACCTGGTATAAGCTTAGACTAACTGCAAGCCTACAAGGCAATTTGTAAGTCAAGCATCTCCACAGACAAAACAGGCCATTGTGTCTACATGGAGGTAATACTCCAGAATAATTCATAAATCCAAAAAGAAGTTATTTCTTGGCAATTCAAAAGATAAGTGGATCCTTTAAGCTGCCAAAGGCTTGTGAAAATACCAGCCTCCAGCGTCGCTTTGTCAATTATGAAACTTGTTTCTACATCAATAGTGACAAAAGTTACAAGAGTGGAGTGCTGTAGAAAAAATTAGTGTTAGAAAGTACTGCATGGTACAGAGAGACAATGTGTATTTAAACTTGAATTATAATTTAAACTTTTATTATTCAATGAGCTTGTCTGTAACATGAAACTGTTAACAAGCTTCCATTCTGCCTAAGCTGTGAGCTTGGTTTGATGGCATGTAAGTCCTTACAAACTCTGTTTTTATTACTAAATTGGCTGATTGGTTAGTGCAATGGCCCCTGTTAGTGATCTGAAGTGTGTTAGCACACAGTTTAAATATGTCATTAGTTACCCAGGACAGGAAAACTTTAGGTGTGGTCAGCTGTACTTCCTATGTTTGATAATCCTTATTTTGTTTCTGCAGGTATTTCGTTTACGATCACGTCTTTGCAGAAAAGATTACTTCGATGGACAGTCAGCTAAGTCCTCTAGAAGAAGAAAATGAGAAGTTAAAGAAGGCAGTGACAGTTCTACAAGCCCAGCTGAACCTAGAGAAAGAGAAGAGGGTAAGCATGGAAGAGGAGTACAGTCTTATGGTGAAAGAAAACTGTGACCTGGAGCGGAGGCTGGTTGATACGGACTTGTATCGGGCTCGCGCGGAGGAACTGGAAACAGAAGTAGCTGAAATGCGACAGATACTTCAGTCTGAAAACACGCTCCATAATGCCGAGAAATTGGTGCCAGAATCCTTTTTCATTTCGTTCAAGGAATCTCTAGACAGGGAGCTTGGTCAGAGCCTGGCAGATGATGGACTTCTGACAGTATCCGAGCTTGAGAAGAAGGCACTGAAACGGAGCAGCAGCGAAGGCCTCCTGAGCAGTGCTGCTGGGGCAGACATTCTCAGGGGCCATGAAGAAACGTGTATCAGGAGAGCTGAAGCTGTGAAGCAGCGAGGAATCTCTGTACTCAATGAAGTTGATGCTCAATACAATGCTCTGAAAGTGAAGTATGAAGAGCTTTTGAAGAAGTGTCAAATGGATGAAGATTCTGTGAAACACAAGGCTGTACAAACACTGAAGCAGTATTCCAAAGACCTAAATGTGGGGAACACCCAGTATGATCTTTCAGCTAGCAATCAAGAATTCACAATTGCTGAGCTAAGTGACTCTTCCACAAATGCTCCCCCTGAATATAAAGCACTATTCAAGGAGATTTTTAGCTGTATCAGAAAAACAAAAGAAGAAATAGATGAACACAGAGCAAAGTACAAGACTCTCTCCTCTCAGCCATAACACCTTATGTGTTAGTCAAGAACACATTTCATATGAATGTCAGAAGACCCCTTAAACTGATGTGTTTCTTGAGCACTCAAAGTGAATGTTTTGGATTGGCTGGTAGCCCTGTAGTTAACAAGCTAGTTAGTTATCAGCTAGATTTCCAGTTCCTGTGTAGCAGTAGATTTAATGTTTAGCACTGTCGCACAAACTAGTGGTTGTAAAGCAAACAAACATCATAGCTTAATGCTACACTACTACTTCATATTACACTTCATCTCTGGCCAGAGCAGTGACTGACACTTGTTTCCTTAGTCCACTTCAGAAATAACAGAGCTAAGGACTCTGAATCTCTCACAAGAACCAGACTGAAGCTTTTCTTTGGTTCACAGGGATGATCTAGCCCTGTGACTACACTGATGTAGAAAATGAACAAAAGCAAAGCCCCGACCAGTCCCAGGGGCAGCATCTCTTCAGCTCCAGGACCGGAGCAGTCCAGCTGATCTTGCTTTGGCAGGGTGGTGGAAAGCTGTGCTTGCTTTAAGCCAGTACCACGTTTTCACAATCACTAAGCTCTCCCACAGATTAATATAAATGTCTTCCTACTAAGAAAGGATTTGATGTAAAGTTTGTGTGGCTTTTTAGATATGGTTTCTTTTGTAGGGCACTTTGTCTTAAGGCAAGCTACTGTGAATTGACTCTATGTGTTATTTGGGACCTACGGTTCTCTGGTGGAATGTCTGCAAAGTACATTTTTGTGTGTATTTGTAAAGTTAGAGAGTTGTTATTTAGCTATTTAACTTTAGAAGTAGCACTGACATAGTGGAGTAGCTTTTAATGTTGCATACCACAAACTCCAAGTGCTTGAAGAGACAGGCCAGGTACAAAACCTTATATTGTCTGTTGCTTCCAGTGTCAGCCTCTCTGGACCTATTCCATGCTTCCAGTGGGGTGGGAGGATGGACACTATTGCCAGCACATATCCTACTGAAAATGGGACCACACTCCTGTTCTCCCTCTCCTTTTCCACTCCCTAATAGTAATTCATACAATACTTAATTTCTAAAAAACAAAGAACATGGAGAAGGTTGTTCTTTGGAACACTGAGAAATTAAGAGGAAGAAAAAAGGCACAGTGAAACGTGATGTCCTTCTCCTTGTAAAGGGTCTCATAGCTTAATGTGGCCTGCAGTTCTTGGGAAGCAGCTTCCTACTGAGATGCTGTGAGGCACCAAACCCTTGACCCAGAATGTTGACAGTTTCTCAGCTTTAGTCCAGCTGCTGCAGCTCTGCTGTGTTATGCTGTTCTCTGTTCACCTTGGCCTTCAGGTGCAGTATTAAAACTTCATGTTGTGGAAGTTTCTCTAAAACATGTATTGCAGTCTGAAAATTATTTAAAAATGGGAATCTGAATCTTCTGAATATTTTTCTAAGCAAATAAATAATCCAGTCAAGCTACATGCCTAAGTAGTAATTATATCCATCTGTGCCAATCAGGAAACTGTATTTGGTGCAAATGGCACCTGCATTATCTAGTTTTGCCATCTTTCCTAGAGAGCTCAGATGGAGTTCTCATGAAATTTGTATTTTAGAAAAGTTATGCTACATGGAAAAGAACAGGCTTGTCTAGGACAGAAATCCAGATGGAAGCAAGTAGTCTTTCCTCATTGTTGTGGTTTTTGTCAGTTCTGTTCAAAAAAGAGGCAAGGGTGGGGAAAGCAGAAAAGCTGCTCTGCCATGAGGTTACTGTCCTGTCAGTGTGTCCCTGCCACCTGCACCTGTCCCACCCCAGTTTGGAGATGAAAGCAGTAACCTGAGAAAGGCACAAAGTGGTTCACTACCAGTGTTCCTTACCACTTTAGGGATGGGCAAACCACACCTGCTGGGCAGAAGACGTGTAAAAGCAGTTGCAGATTTTTGGTTAAATAGGTCATCTTCAGTGGTTTATTACTTTTGGCTAATTTAGAGCACTTTGATAGGAACCATTTCTATGCTTTAAAATACCAAAAATATATCCTCAGAACTTCTTGATTCTTCTGTATTGTACTTCCCCCTTGGCTACCTGTGCCACTGCTGAGCTCTGGCTGTCCTGCAGCACTTACCTGTCAGGCTGTGCAGTAAATCCCTTCAGGCTGGGCTCTTAGAGCTGCTCCTGGAGCATGGCTTTCCCAGAGACCTTTCCAGCCACAGCCACTGGGTCAGTGCCAGCCAGGGCTGCCTGAATATAAAGCACATCCCAGTTTTATTTATGCAATTAATACACTAACCTATTAAATAAGGAAGTTTTAGCCGTTCAAAACCAGCCATTTTCCACCAAAATGGGATATGCCGTAAGTATGGTAACAATATTCTTAGCCAGTATTCTTACCTGGATTAACTACCTTAATCTTCTTATTTTGGTCAACAACTCAACTCAGCCTTTTCTGAGCATAAGTAGATGAAATCAATAGAATCCCCTTGAGCTTCTCATGTGATGGAAGCTGCAGCAGAGAACAGAACAGGAGCAGCAGTGCCCGTGCTGTGCAGTGCCCACCGCCGATGTTCCTGCTGGTACTGCAGGTAAGGCCAGTTCAGGACGAGCCACCAGGGCTGGGTCCCTGTCCCTGCACAGCCCCAGGGAGCTCAGGGACTGCACTGCACTTCGTTCTCCACCTCTGTCCTTCTCCAAGCCTTCAAGATGCAAAAGGAGCAAGTGCAGCTTCTGTTTCTTGGACAAATACAAGGCGGGGTAGAGTTGACCTTTGTGATAAATTTTTATTTAAAAATTACACAAAATAGAGGTTTTACATGGTTGCTGTGTGGTAACTACAGCTGGATGCCTTCCAGAGAGTGCCCTCGGTTACTTACCTTGCTCTGTCACATACAGTAATGCACAAAGTCCCTCAAACCAACCCCACATCAGTAGAAGAAATCCAGTAGTTGTTCCCTGTGTTTCAGATGTAGGTACTTCTCCAAATAACTCATTTCACAGATAACAGGTGAGAACAATGGTTATGTAGTACAGAGTTCACAGACAGTTATTTTGTTCCCCCCTCCCAGGCCTGACATTCCTATGAACACGACTACCCCTGCTCTTTTTATGAAGAGGGCTCAAGGGCTATGACAATGCTCACACTATAGTATGAGCATCCAGGGATTTAACAAAAACTGGGATGTTTGTAAACAAATTTAATTTATTGGCATTACTTACAAAATAAAGTTTTAGACCATGATTTTCCATCATGTCTGTGTCACTATATTGTTTTATTTTTTCATAATGAAACAGAAGGAGAATTGCAATACATTAGAAATCCCAGATTAATCAAGCTGCAGACAGGGTCCCACGGTGCCTTCCCGGCGACTCCGGCGCCTCGGAGGCCATGCAAACTCTGAGTGTGGGGATGTCAGTGGCTGCCTGCAATGGCCACGTGCCCCAGAGCAGCTCAGATCCCGCCCTGGCTGCCGAGGCCACGGCATTGCTCCAGCTGTGCCACCCGCTGTGGGTTCCTCTTGTGTCCCCGAGATCACCTGACACCACTGCCACCGCTGTCAGGACTGCACCGTCCCCTTAAGATACCACATTCCACCGTAGCTCACGCAGCAGTCCTGAGGAGACAGGGAAAGGAAAGGCTCTGTTGGGCTGCCCAGGGTGTGGTGGAGGCACCATCCCTAGAGGCATGGCAGGAGTGTCTGGATCTGGTGCTGGGTGATGTTTCATGGTTGGACTGGATGATCTCAAAGGTCTCTTCCAACCTTGAAAATTCTATGATTCTAAAGTCCAAGAAAGTCTTGGGGAAACAACTGGCAGGCTCTGGGACAATAAACGTGATCAGTACCAAGCCCTTCTCCAGTGCACAGGAGAGAGCATGAACCCAGGGCACAGAGTAACCCCACCCTGAAGGACAGATGGCTTCAATGGAGGGGACACACAAGGGGGGAAGGCTGAGAGCCACAAAGGGACAAATGCCAAGGCAGTGAGGAACAGCAGTGGCTCATCGGGGAGAACCTGGGGCTCCTGCAGAAGCCAGCTGAGGGAGGGAAGGATGTGTGAGGGCTGGAGAAGCAGGGCAGTAGAGGGGTAAAGAGGGGCTGAAGCCCAGGGGAAGAGGCTGAGGGGAGCAGCGGAACAGCAGAAGAGTGAGGGCAGTCACTGGATCTGAAGCCTTTTAAGAAATGCTTTGTATGATAATGAAGTGTCAAACCTCAGAGCCCTGCTGTGACCACACGTGTGCTGTGCTTAGGGCTGGAGAGCACCTCAGCAAAGGAGTGCAGGGATTGGGGTGTCTTGGGGCTCATTTCCTTGTTTCTATTAGGTGAGCACACTGAGCTAACTGCTTCCCTTTTGCTCCACTCTCCCTCTTAGGTAATTCAACACAGGCTCAAGTACTACTGCAGAACTCAGGCTGTGGATCTTAAATGTATCTTTGTTTCTGAAGTCTTGGGGCTTATCCATAACAAAAACAAACCCAGAGGTTAGAAAAGAGGCTTTACAAATTTTGCAAATGCAAAAATACAAACCCTGTCAGTCTGTTCCTCAGTGTATAAAAATGAGCACAGGCAGACGGGGAAATAAAAGTCAACAAATCCAATTTCACTCGAAGTGGAATCCAATCTCTTGTGGCTTAAAGAAGCCAGAGAATCCTCCCATTTCATTAAATCATGCTTCTAAATTTTATTTCAGAAACAAAGGTGATTTCCCCTACGCCTATGACAAATGTATTCAAGGCAGTAAAGCCTGCCACAACACAAGGCTGCTCACCCACGACTTAGTCACATAAAAACAGTGCCTGATGATTTAGGGGCAAGTATTTTTTCTAGAAACAGGTTATCTGTTAAATAGCAACAGCATCATGAAAAACTAATGCCAGTACATTGTCTAGATGTTCCAGGAGAGCTGATACTTGAGCTCATGTAGTCGCTGACAAATCCCCCAGCACAGCAGCCAAAGGAAATACTGTCTAGCAGGCAGAAATGTCTGTGCTTACTTAACTGCTAAGACGACCAGGTTCTTTCAAGCAAGACCAGTTTGCTTATTATCACAGCAACAGATCTGTAGCTCTTCAAAGATGCTATTATTCATTTGCAGATCACAATGTAATAAAGTACTTAAGCACTTGTCTTATTGAAGTGGGTGACAGTGAGCAAAGGCCCAGCCACAATGATTAAAGTATTACATTAGTTGGCAACTTTCTGCTTGGCCATCCTGCATCTCTTTTAAAGTCATGGCCTGTGTGGTCTGTATTTATACCTCAAACTCCTTGAGCAAGTAAATAGTGCATCTTCAAAGACAGATGAAAGGATTCAAATAAACATTTGCAATGAGATGCATTAACAACTACTCTGCCTGCTGGTTTTGGCCTGGGTTTTGCTCTGTGCAAAGCTGCACATCCTGCTAAATAATAAAAAGCACTTCCTTCTGAACGTGTGGCACTTGTGTTCTTCAGCACGAACCAGCAGCAGTCAGCTGGTAACTCAGAGCACTGGGCAAAGCCCTCCCACCTCCTTAATGTTTAATTTTGCATTATTTAAAAATAACTCAAGTATCACATTTACTACACTCTATTCTCTGCTGCTCCAAGATGACAGAAAGATTTGTTGCAATAATACAAAATAATGTGTGAGCCATTGCTCCTTGGAGGGAAAGAAGATAGAATGAGACAAGTGAATGTTTAAGAAAACAAGCTGAAACACAGGCTTTGTCCATATCCCAACAACAACTGTTCTACCATCCTTATCGTTTGGCAGTTCAAGGTGAAATATAATGCTTTGTTCAAATCAAGCATTAAAACT